CACGTGGCTCTAGCGATAAACAATCCCAAGAGAGAGAGACAAATGTTACGAAACTCGAGCGAGGAGAGGATTGCTCTACGTTATCGTATCGTGAAATTATCGCAATTAGATAATCACGATCGTAACTTTGATTACCGTGTAAAGACTATTTTTATGTCGAACCTGAAGCTACTCGAAGATCAAAGGAAGTCTAAAAGAGAAATCAAAAGACACGTATCTTTCAAAATACATGTTCAGTTTGAGCAATAACAGACACGTCGCTTGTAAATTACATCGGCATTGCGAGGAGATAATTTAACATCCAAGTAAGAAACCATTTCGATGATTATCAAAGGAAACGACTTTGAGAAAAACTCGACACGACAGACGCGTAAAAAGAATTTTGTGACGCTGTACGATTAAAACGAACGCAAGCAGAGGAATGCTTCGTCTGATGGAAAGTGGGAAAACAAAATTTCAATCCCTCGTCATTATCTACACGTTGAAAGAAGCTAATCTTGTGAAAGCTCCTCTCTCTTCCTCCTTGAATTTCGTCAGCTTATCTCCTATCAGTTATGATCGCGTTAATTAGCAAAAGTTCTCGAGAAAACGGCTGATTAAATTAAGCACGGCTTCGAATCAATTATTCCGCGGCACAATTTCAATTAGAGCCTCGAGTTTCCTCCTGTTCTCGATTGTGATCGAACGGACACGAACATCTCTATCGTCCGAACAACGGACGTTATCTATGTGCGTCGATCGTACGACATTAATCCTCGATATTAAAAAAAAAAAAGAGAGAGAAAAGGAGAAAGAAAGTAAGCAAATTCATCACCTCGTGACTCGATTCGTGGCAGTGATCTTTTTCAGCAGAAACTTCCATGTTTCTCTTTCTCTCGCTGTTTTCTTTCTGGCCAGCTCACAATATTTCCACTGTAGGTAGACTGTAGGAGAACGCTGTTCACTTGGCACAATGTAATTGAAATTAAAAAAAGGAAGAAGGGGAGAAAGAGAGGCAAAAACAACGCGAGAAAAGGAGATGAAAGCGGGTACGGAAATTCACAATTTTCTAGACGAACTCGTGTCTGTCCTACGCCACCCACGTCGAAACGTACACTGAATTTCAAAACAGCTGCGACCGTGAAACAAGCTTGTATAGATGCCATGTAATTAACTATGGTACGCCGTTTCCCAGTTTCGTTCCGGTTTTTCTCCGAGTTTGTTCGTCCCTTTACGTGAATCTCGCTGCCTGTTTCTCGCAACAGTTTCAAAGGGTCCTTTCCCTGTTTTAAATTTCTTTGCAAACGAAATGGTTCTCTAACGGAATTTCTTAAATGCTTATCGGATTTCAATTTCTGTTCGTGCTCTGACGTGTCTTTGGTGTTTGACTTGTATTAATTACGTAATTATATTATATTACGTTGCCAGACTCGTTGGATTCGTTGGATGCAACAACGTAAACGTTATTGCATCGATTCCCCTTTATTAATATTTATACTATTGGTTCATTATTTACCACAAGAATATAAACTATAGATTTTTATATATATCGATATTTCTACTACTATTATATATATTTCAATACTTATATATATATATATATTACTATTATATAAGTACTATTATATTTCGATACTTATATATATCGATTCCACTTTATTAATATTTATACTATTGGTTCATTATTTACCACAGGAATATAAACTGTAGATTTTCGAATTAAATAATTTCTCCCTCGTGGTTCTACTCTTCTTCAAGTACTTATATAGATATATACACACACACACACACATATATATATATATATAGTCCTCGACTAGAAATGGAAATTCCAAAGTGAAATTTTCCGAGAACTGATCGTGACGAAAAGTTGCTGCGTATCGATTTTTCAGTCTTTGTCGTCGCCTTTCGTTCACCAACACACGTACGTTTTATTTACGAGAAGATCATCCACAGTTCGCTTTACATAATTGAGGGAGTCGCTCGAGAAGCAGCGATAAACCCACCCACTTGCCGATGACGAAGAAGCGGAGTGAATTTTGTCTTTGAGCTTCAGGCGAGCCGTGAAATCAATTAAACGATCTGTTACAGATAAATTTTCACTTCCTCCGACTTAATGAATATCTCGGCGACTGGCTGATTGAATATTCACGAATTACGCCGCGCGAAAACGGAATCTTTTCGGGTAAATTTGTTCCGTCGATCTGGGTCGAGATCGAATACATTTCGCTGAAAAGCAAGCGTCGATAAGAGTCGGCAGAGAGACAGAGAGACAAACATTCAGATTTCCAAATTCCTTGAATGTTCAACTTTCGATTCACGAAATTATTCCTCACATATCGAAGCTTTCAAATCCTCAAATTCGAACTTTCTGTTCCAAAGCGTCGAAAGAGGCAAAAATTATCGTCGAAAATTCCCCGCTACGTTATGCACCATAACGCTCCACGTGAACGCTTGAACCCATAAAACACAACATCTACTAAAAAACCGTATCTACTGCCCCTGTTTCGCCGCAAATTTCCAACTTCCACCCCGCGTGTGTAGCGTTATAACCGAAAGGACTGTCTCCATTCACTTTACACCCTCCGTCCAAAAAACTTGGCCTCGTCAAAATTTTATGGGCCGGCTGATCGTGGCGAGACATTAGCGTGACCGTCGATCGGCTCTTGTTAACGGCACGTGCGAACAACTGTAAATCAGGGCCACCTGTTCGCAACCGGCAGCATACTCTCGTTGTCGCTCCCTCCGAAACCATGTGGGAAGGGGGAGGGCTCGGTTTAAGACCGTCGTGTTCCACGGCAATGGCCGTCCTCGAACTTTACCCACCTGTCCTGATAATGTCGGTTAATATCATGTAAATTGTAATTAATATTCATAAAGTTAATTCGCCACCGGCGCTGCCGGTTCGAACACCGTCACGAGCCACCCACCAACTTTTAGGAGAGAATTTACGATCGCGACGGTACGTACGTACGTACATACGTATTTCGGCTGGCGGGGGCCAGCCACGAACCGGTTCTGATCGTCGCTCGGATAAACCCACGTACATAGCTAGTAGCAGGCTCGCTGCTTTGCAAAATAAATCGTCCAACCGCGAGAGCTACGAGATTTATCGCGGAATTATAAAGAACCGTCGCTTGCGATGCTCGTTCAGTGGCTATCCACTTCGGACTTTGTGATAAATCGTTCGACAGCTTTTCTGATGTCTCGTCGAACCGATACACTCGATACAGGCTCGATACTACGCTCTTCCGTGGATCCAACGCGCCGCGACAAGCTTTCGCCGATTGACGCCTCGATGTTATCGAAGGGAAGACGCTTTGTTGCCGATACACGTTGTGTGCTTCTTCTTTCTAGTTTTCCTCCCTCGAACTCCCACTTCTTTCGAACAAATCAAGGATAATATAAATTCCAGTGAAAATTTAAAATCCCGTTCTCCGAGTAATGCAATCGTTTGCCTTGGCGGGCTTCCACGCCTGACCTGGGCAAGGCAGGAAATTACAATTACAATTCTCTCGACCGTCCAATCTACGGTTCAACGTACGGTTCAGCTGCATCTCTGGAAAATGCTTTCCACGCGCCGACGAATAAGTAATTCCTGGAATTTGTCAGCAAGAGGTTGCAATAACGTCTCATTACGAGGACGCGGATAGGATTTTCCTCTTCTCCTCACGCTCCTGCCGCGGGGTGCAACGCGTCGAAACGCGTGGGGCGCAACGCGCGACGCGCACGTATTTCCCTCTTATTGAGTTATCCAATCCGGAAATCTTGAAGAATCCTTTTCGCGTCTCGTCCACGGACCACGTGCGCACATTTCTTCCGACGCGACGCGACGCGACACGGATAATGAAAAATTCCGCACGACAATGAGACACGTAGACGCGTTCGCGTAGCTCGAACTGGAAATGCACCGCCGACTAATTTAATTAAATAATAACAAAGGAACAACTTCAATCTCGCTGCGTTCGTCCGCGTTAAATTATCTCGTGTTTTTCGTGCTTCCCTCGGCTGCCGCTGGCCTCCCTTTGGGATACGCGGGTAATTTTGAAGTCCGTTGAAATATTAAGGAAACGGAGGCGAAGACACCACTGTGTACCACCGCTAAATTTGTACTCCAGTAATTCAGCAACTGTACGTCGGTGGAGTTAATTTGTATTGCCGGATTGTTTTCTTCTGGCGTTCGTTTCGTTTCGTTTTGCAATTTCTGGTTTATCCTTCGTTTCTTCCTTTCTGCCCGCGTCGATTATACCGCAGAGTTCAAAAGTAAATTCCGAGCAATGAAATTTAACACTCCGCCGACTGTGGACCGCGATCTTTTCGAATTCGATATTAGTGTCTCCAATGCCATCTTTTAAACGAATCGACTATTGTTGTCGGTGGAAATTGAACGAACTTACAAGACTTTCGAACACTAGAACTACCAAAATGGTCAAAACGATCAATTTGGAACTTTTCTGTGGAAATTTTGTATATTTATAATAATAATGTACTTTCAGAGACGAGTGCTCTTTGTTGTATCCTGTAATTTTTATCCTGCCCCTTTCATTCTCATTTCTCTGTTACAAACTTTACACTTTGAGTAGTATTAAGCGGAGGATCTCTGAAAAAATTGACCATAGAAAATCTTTATTGAAATTTTGACGATAAAATCTCCGACATCCTTACGAGTAGAACCAGCAAAATTTTAGGCTCTATTATTTAATCTACTAATTAGGCTGCTAATTTTAATAACGCATCGTCGCCGAGTGGCAAATATTCAACGGTTCAAGATAAGATTCATCAAACTTACATCTCTCTTACGTATTTTGTATTCTACTCGGCGTTTGCGAAAGGAATCCAGTCTTAGAAATCATGACAAAAGATTTGATTTTGGCAAAGTAGCAAAGCGTGTTACAATCCCCTCGATGGAAATATATACTAAAGTACTTCTTCCTCAATTTCAAATCATTTTCGTCTTTCAGTGAAAGCGTGCGCAATACAACGAAGAAAAGAAATTGGCGTGCGGAGAAATTGAAACTCACCATGGATCGCGAGGGTCGGGCAGTGTTCTGTGAACAGAAATCAGGTCGCTGACGTACTGATTGAACGCGTTGTTTAGCCATCCGTCGTCGACAAGTTTTTTAATTTCGGCAGTCAGATTCGTCGGCAGGATTACCGGTCTTCCCATTTCTCCAGGCGCGCTCGAGTCCGGCTCGCGGGGAGCGACGAGCACACCGCCGCCTGAAATTCAGAGAAAACAAAACGGTAAAACGGACGATGGTTCGAACGAATCGCTTTTTCATTAACTCGAGCAGGGCGAACAAGCTGGAAAGTAAAGTAAAAAACTTGCTCCTTTTTCAACAAACTTTAGCGATACACAAGCGTTTCTTCATATCTGAACTCGAGCAAAAGAGTTACGTCCCGATAGTTCATAACGTCCGGCTATGAAGTTTTAATAGTTGGAGGCACTTATTAATATTCAACGCACGCGAGCGAATTTCTCGCGTTCTAATGCGTTTCGTAACGATTAAACGTCAGACGAAATTTCGAGCAATATGCTAATGTTGAATTCACGACGTAAAACGTGGGAGATTACATCTCCATTCATCTGATAAATATTAAATATTAAAGTTTTCTAATTTCCTGAAGCACGGGGGCAAATTCACAGAAAGTAGCGAGCGGAGCAATCGATAAAAAAAATTGAAATGTGCTATTTGTGTGACTCTTGAGAAATCCCCTCGGGTGGCGCTTCCCTTTGAAGAATTTTGAATTTCTGTAAGTTTCAATTTTGAGACTGACACTGACTGACATTCCGTGTGGCTTTTGCACTTGTGGGATTATAACGCCAGATCTCTTGCACATTCATATTCCAAATGAGACTGATAACACTGAAACTAGTCTAGTAGCTCGTTAACAAGATGAATTAGAATTAATTCTTGGTGAAACGTTGATGAAAGAGGGGAAAGAGTCGCCGCCATTCACTGTTGGCGAGATGAATTTTCTTGCGAGTTGCAAATTCAAATTTTGCAACTGACGAAAGATGGGAAATAAATGACGGGCGAGGCGAGATCATTCGTAAAAAGAAAATTCCAAAGCGTCATTGACAGTTATTGCTTGGTATTCGCTTGGCTCGTGCTTCACCGTTGCTACCGAAACAAAGTCATCCACTTTCCGAAAGCCAATTTCTGGCTGGCGAGAGCAGCGACACGCGGCAAACGGACGAAATGCAAAACGAGGCCAAAGGAAGTGGTCGATGCAGAAAACGAAGGCAGTAGAAAACGGAAGACGGCGGTGAATTGAATTTTCAGAAAAACGTATCTCGAGAGCGTGGCTGTCTCCTTTTCTAAGGGGTTTCGGCTCGCACAAACTCGACTTTTATTCTGCTGCGTCCTATCGGCAGCCAGGACGACGCGGTCAAAATGGCGGTAGGCGCGAGGCCTCGAGAAATTCGTTGCTCAGTTTCTCCTCGCGCCTCGTCTTGCTCTCGTCTCGGAAATAATTCCACCCTGGTCGAGCGGAGAGCTCGAGAGGTGGGCCCCGGTGCGCGCGATACGGCAATAAAGAGCACGACAAATTGCTTTAGAACGGCGGCGTGCAGCAGCCCGCCGCCAACTTCGCCACGGTGAAACTACCCTCGTGCATCAACCCTCCTCCCACCCTCTTCCTTTGACTCTCTTTCGAAATTCCGGTTGCAACCTTTTCTTTGTTCCGACTGAACGCCGCCAAGGGACCCGCGGAAAATATGGCTCTTCTTACTCTCCAGTTCTTCTTTTTTTTCTTTTCTTTTCTTTTCTGTTCTTTTCTTTTCTTTCTTGCACGATGATCTCGACGACGATCCAAGGACACACAGTGAATAAAAGACTAATGTTAAGGACAGTCGCCGACCGATCGATCGTATATCTTTGCTTATATCCCTTGGGGTTCGAAGGACCATTCACTGATGTGGGAAATGAACAACTATGATGGATCTTTGACCTTCATTTGACTTTTTGACTATTACTTTAATTTCTTGCAACTTTTCTGACTAACTGTTTAACTGCGTGATGATTATTACTACTTCTGATGTAAAAACCACAACTTGTAACAACTGCTTGATTTGACTAACTTTCCATTTTTTATAATAAACTTTGGATTAATCTTGTCAGGATCAGTCAGGAAAAGATCACCCATAAGCATTCTTGTGAAAACGATCCCGTTGCATATACAATCCCTCAAGTACGCACTTGTTATGACATGGTAATCTCTACAAGAAAGACCTCATCGTAGGTCTCATAGCTGATCCAAATTTATAGGCATTGTCTGGAGTTTTCTAAATGGTCAAATCTAACAACTAATTATCAACGTGACCTTGGCGAGTTTGAAAAGACGAGAACAAGAGAAGACTCGCACGGAGTTTCACACTTTTCTTTCCCTACAGATCAATTACCTTGCTCCGGGCCGGCTTGGATCAGTTTAGGCTTGGGTTGCGCGTTGAACGGCGTCTCTTTTCGAAGAGCCGCGGCTGCAGGCACGAAACCGGTGGCCATTTGAGGCGCTGCAACGCCGGACGGTGCCAAGCCCTGTACAGCTGCGTTCGCACGATCCTCCGTGTACAAGAGGAAGCAGACGGTGGCCCAGACCGCTGTGGCTAGAATGGCCACTTTCAGCCACAGGGATCTCCTCCTCGGGAAACCCATGCTTGACTCTCAGCCTGAACTTGGCCCCTTTTGGTATCCACAGCTCCTCGTCGCCTGTTGTCCCTTCGTTGTTCGAGCACGGTTCGATTGAATATCGTTCTTCAGCCGGCTCGAGAGGTCGCGTTACCTCAGCAACATCCTCTCGCTTCGTTCTGTCTTGTCTTCTCGCAAATTTGCTTCGTGTCTTCTTCGAGCGGGTCGACTTGGATTGGTCGCTGACTTGTCCACTTGGTGCGTGGAAAGGTTTGTGGAAAAAAAGGTTCAACTAGGATAAAATACGGCAAAGGGTCTCGTCGATCATGCTCGATCGACACCTGCTACGTCTTGGCCGAGACAGCATCATCGTCGCGCCTTCATTTCGCTTTGATATGCTTCGTTGGATTGGTCGACGGTTGACTGATGCTCGCAGCAACGGTTTCAAAGAGACGATATGAGTTGATATGTACGTGTGTTTTCTGTTTGGATTCCTCCGAGTATCACCGCATGGTTTTACCTGAAAAATCAAATAGCAACAGATTAGTTCAAGCGATACACTTGGAAAATTCAGTTCAACTTGGAAATGATCGGCAGAGCTACCGAGAGACGTTTAATTTATTTGATTATTTTGAGTCAAACGTCTCTTTTAGAAAACCATAATACCGGAATAGAAGGCTCGTTTCGACGGTCTATCGAAGAATGAAACGCTAGTCTAAGAAGCTGTTTTGTTCTGGTTGACTCTCCACTTTCCTAGATTATTTAGCAGTCGATCGTTCCGACGTTCGTCGTGGTCTTTCGTTATCCTATCTCCGGTTCCAACGCGGAAAACTTTAACGAGACGTTCGCGACTTTAACGAAACGAACAACTACCCAAATTTAATTTAAAGACAATAATTCACGACAAAATGTATTCGAATTTCTTGCCGAGAATCGCGACAAATTCTCCCATTTTCTTTCAAATTTGGTAAATAACGTAACGACGACGCATTGTTAAAATAGCAAGGTTCTCTGTTCGAGGAGTTGATAAAGTACACTTGGAAACAGGGTTACGTAGCGAAACCCGATAAGAAGTGCAAACTTGATTAATCAGTCGTCTCACGTCGGAACTTTTATTAATCCAGTTAAAATCTGGGCTGCTGATGAAGAAACTTGCTTCGTCGTGAACTTTCCACCTTAATTAACGCAAAAATCAGCAATTTGTGTATTTTCACGGCTGACAAAGACAGGGGATGGTGGAGAAAGAGGGTGGAGATAGGGATGAGAAATTAGAAGGAATTAATAGAACGGCTGGTATCGAAGGAGATTTACAAGGGGCAAAACCGAGAGAACCCCACGAAATATTTACCAAAGACATATTTGCGGTGTAGCGGAGCAACGTGTCTAGGAGATACGTCCATAAATTAACTTAGTCGAAGTAATTGAGTAATACATCAGCAGCCGGGAGATTTCATTAACCAAAGTAAATCATCGTTTGCAGCGAAACTTTTGAATCATAAGCGTTTGGAGGTCTAACAAAAATTTCGTTGAACTCTCATCGAACGATTCTCTCGAAATTGCATCCGAAATAAAAGTAAACCAAATAAAATAAAAAAAAAAGCTAATATTTTTCTTCTATCTCACTGTCAATCTATAAATTTAAAACGATTCTCCGATTCAGCGAGTCACACAACGTAACGTTCCAATTCGAAAGGGTATTTTTTATTCAGCGTTGTAAATTAAATATTTATGTCGGTTTAATTGATTCGCCCGACATTCGAATAGATCTTTTTCGCGTTCATTGAAAGTTTTGAATAACGCTTCTATTTTCTACTTTGGGGATAAAATATGCAAACACTCTCTAAACAAAACGTTACTTTCTTATTCAATTACGCTCCGAATCGATTGTGGGACTATTCCCGGCCCCGTGTTTCTGTCCACTGCGATCATCCGTTATTTAGCCACCCTTTAAATCAATGTTCAACTATTTAATCGCTCTCTAATTTAATCGTTCAATATTTAATCATTTTCCAGCGGAATCGGCTGCCGCTCAATTATTCTCTGACGCAACAACGAAATTATCACCAAATTTACCCATAACTTGATCATCGGCAGTTATCGTTACGTTTCGTCGTTTCAAAACGACGGTGAGATAAAGCTCGATCATCGTCAGTCCAATTTTCTACACTCTTGCAACGTTTAATCCGTAGTGACAAATTTAAAAGAAAGAAAAAAAATAATGGCAACAAACGTGCAACGATAATTTCAAAGTCAGAGCGCGATAATTTCCAAGGGGGACGAGTCGAGAGTGAAAGAAAGAGAAGAGATCCACGGATTCGTCAAGCAGAACGAATTACGGTAAAACTTTGAAACACAGCGCTTATTATCGCGATTCGAAGGCGCGCGTATCGTACGGTTCTCAAACATAAATGTTGGGGAACACGTTCGATGCGGAGCCGATGCCAGGAATAACGTAAGCAAGGAACGTGCTAATGGTGCCATGACTGGCGAAACATTACGCGGATTGCGAAAAAAAGAGAAGAAGAATGAGCCGGGCCGCGGCAATCTTCGGCCGTAATCCGGCATTAGAATGCCCGTAGTTCGCCACTGGAAAACAAAAGATACGAGCTGCACGCGTATTCACCGCGCCAGCATCGTGTTGTACCGTTACCAGCGCGATGCATCGCAACTCGATGCGTTCGAGTCCGGCTGCATTCCAAAAATTTCTACCGTCCTTTGCCTCCCGTAAAACGACGATAATCTTCTTCTTCTTCTTCTTCTTCGAGGAGATGGTTCCTAGATCAAATTGCAACATAAATGCAGTCGTTGCTACGTACGAGAAAAAAAATTGAGAAATTTTCTTTTCCAACCGTTCTTTATAGCTCAAACCATATCGATCTTGCAACTTGGTCCATGCACGAAGGATGTTAAAGGCGATAATATGTTGGCGTAAACTCGAGCAAAATGCGTGACAAGGACGTGTGTAAGCCCGAGGCGATCCACCTTGGCGGAACGAGATTGTTCCATTCGGGGGCTCGTTAGGCGGATAATATGCGACTAGTCGCGGCGACAATGAGATTAAATTCTGCTTCATAGGACCGAGCCCCGAGAGACGGGCAATTTTGCCGGCGTATTTCAATTAAACAAGCCCGCGCGCGATAACACGACTGAATTACGATTTTCCTGGCGACGCGAGGCGACGCCGCGCTCCGGCGTCCCGCGAGCGGATTCGCGCGGATCCTGACGCGCGCGGATGGATACCGTGCAGCGTTAACGAAGTTTCGCGTCGCCCGACAATTTTCCGTTCAGGATCGGCAAGACTGTTTCTGAAATGTCTTGCAAGAACATGAAGCAAGTTACCGACAGAATTTCGGAGAAGGCTTCAACGATGAATTAATAGACAGTGAAGAATTTGTCGGAGAATAAATAATTTATACTGCCTTCGTACCAAAATAAATGTCCACGTTATGTATTTACTTTATATGCGTTTTAATGCCCATCATACTAAACAAAATTAATGATTTCCCAATATTATTAAATTTGTAATTTTATAGGGACTAAATTTTTATTTCTAAGGTTATATCGCGAAATATATATATATATATATATATATATATATATAAAATTTAACTTTTTTGTAAAATTTAAATAAAATTTTTTATTTTCGTTAGTAAAAAGAAATATTTTTTTTTTAAACGAACAAAGAGAAGATGTTTTACAATGTCTTCTTAAATATTATACATGAAAAATATTTACGAAGGAGGAAACGATCATAAACTACCACATTTTGCCAAAATTATTATAGATTACGCTCTAGCCAGGCATTTCCAAGAAATGTCATTCGTAATAAAGAAGCAATTGGAATTGCTCGGCAAATTGTTGATAATTGGGCATATTTTTGTCGTGTTCGTAGTTCTTAGTTGTAAGAATACTTAAATGTACAATGTCATTAAAAGACAAGTTAACAAAATAAATCAAATTATACATTCTGAAAAGCGGATATTTACAAATATAACGTATAAATGAGAGGGAGTATAAATAAAAGCCAGTGATTCTTCGTTGGTACGACAGAATTTCCGGTTCGGATAAGTGGATTCAGCCAGTTCGGGGTTCTGTTCGTTTAATCGGGTATTGACTGAAATTTGCTTCGAATAAATGGAGTTCGTGTAAAGTTTTACCGTGTACAGATACTTCAAATTTAATCGAAACGAACGTACCACATTTTACATTATCTATGATCCCAGTGTTCGAAACGTATATCTATATACTCAGATTTCTGTGTGCATGTGTTTTGAGAATATTGCTATCGTGTATTAACTAGATTCATAATGAATCGCCGAAATAAACGTTGATGCAATTGGGAATGTTGCCAGATATTAATTCCTTCAATTCGATTAGTGCTGCAGATAGAAAAATACATAATTTTTGTATCGTTCTCGTGTTTGAATATTTCAGTGTAAGCGATCGATACGTATTAAACCGGGTCCGAAATATTTTACAAACAATCTCTGTTCGGTCACTGGAATACCACTGGAAAATGATCGGTCGCAAAATTAACGACGTACATAATTAATCTTGTGTTTCTTTGTGCACTGAAACATACGCGGTCGTTCCATTGAAATTTGTGACATTTTCGCGGGAAATTTAATTGGCCGGAACGAGTATTTAATTGGCACGAGTGACCATTTAATAGATTTCATTTTCACGTTACGCGCGAACTTGTCGTCGAAAGGTTCTTTCGCGCAAATCCTGTTTTCGTTCTCTTCTTTTTTTTTTTTTCTTTTTTTGTTTCGTTCCTCGTTGTCATTTTTATGCAACAAAAATTTACATTAAATAGCAGAAAAATGATACATCGTTTATCGTATTTCGTGCAAGTGAAACACGCGCTGTGCAGAACATAACGCAAAACATGCGACGTTTAATTAGAACGAGACGATAGAAAATCGTGTTCTGCTTTCAACGAATCGCTCTAATCGATACGTGATTTAGCGTTTGCATGCGAAATATTAGAATGCACGCGGGCACACGGGCAGCTCGACCTACATCGAGCGTCTACGAGCCACGCAAAAACATGGACACAACGAGCTTACATGATTTCGCGTTACACGACAAGAAGGAATAAATCCTCTTTAATCGGACATCCTATCTCTTCGATTATTCTTCCATGTTTGACGTCGACACTGTTGTGCTTGTACATTTTTAAACGTGAATTTATACTGACCCTCCACAACCGTAATACCTAAATTACCACACTCTTGGCTAAATCGGACTTCTTTCGACCGGTTTGATTATTTCAACGCTAAATCGTACTTGACGTATTCGTTGAACCTCGAGTCGTTGGTTTCCAGTTTCTCGTAAAAATGAAAATGACAATTGAACACGTAATCTCGATGATTGTATAATAACTGCTCGAATGAAAGAAAAGGAAAAGAGGGGAACGATACTTTTTATAACGTGGGGATTCAATTATTTATCGAAATGATGTCGTGTATCAATGAACGTGTTGCAGGAAGTAAATGTCTGTATGGAAATGGAAATATA